AGTTACAGAACATCGCATCTTGTTACTCCACTTCGTATTAGCTGACTTAAAATTGCCAATAATACAACCACTGTTGTAAATGGATAAAACACTTAAATTCAGTACCTCTTGCTAAATTTCACTTTGAGAAACTATATTCAGCCTGTTTCATTTCTCCCATAGTTTCTTTTGGATGGTTTTTATTATTATGGTTACTAGCTCATGTGTATTGTAATTAGTTTCTGGAAAAGTATTGAAATCTTGGCCTCATTGAAATCACTGGAAGTTTCATTTTTGACTTAAGTGGTATCAGGTTTTAATTGTGATGCATTCAGCAGCAGAAGTAAATTTGTCATACCTGTCAATGGGATGGATACATTATTAGAAAAAGAAAACTCAAGGTTAACTTATTTGAGTAATTGCATGTATGTATGTCATGTATGTAATCTCATCTTTTCTCTGTGCTTTGCATGACAGTTCAGATAGCTGAGAACGCAGTGTTCTCTTGCATATGCTCTGGCAACTAAGAATGCCAGCTTGAAATGGCATAACCTAACACTGGGATTAGAGTAACTACACATAGTTTGCATGATAATTTCCAGGCAGAGGAAAGGTTTGAAGGACACGGATGAAAAAATCCAAACCTGCAAGCAAAGCTCTGTTGTGTTACCTGTGCTATTGGGTTCTGTGTTCACAGAGCAGAGCTGTGTTGGAACAGTGATAAATAAACCATATTTGATCAGACCCACATTTGCAAAGTCATTGTGAATATTAAGAATGGAAGATGCTGTCTAGGAAAGCTACTGCTGTTACCAAAGCAGAATCCAGGTTAGCAGTATTGTATCATTTTAACCGGTGTCAGTATGTGTTTAATGAAAGCATTTGTCTTAGTAGGGTGGTCTGAACACTATTCTTACCTGGGCTATTGGTTTAAAAGATACTGTGAAGTTCTGAATTACAGCTCAGTAACACCTTTATCCTAGCATGAATGGCGGGAGGAGATAACTCCCATGTAAAACATAATTTTGGGAGTGATAGAGTAATCCTGTATGGGTGGGTGTGTACTTTTGCACATGCAGAGCAAATATCCCTTCCTCCCTTTCTGACCATACCAGTACATATGGAAGATGGCCAGACCCATGTTCCTCAACTTACCTTATGAATTTCCACGTGTTCTGTGTCAGTCTTTGAACTGCCAGAGGTAGGCAGCTAAATTAGTACCATCTAGGAAACAGGACTGTTCATATCATCTCCTCACTCTTAACACGCCTGTGCAGTCTGAGCCACAAGTTGACCCTTATTGATCTGATTTGACTATACCTCTGTGGAGCAGACAGACACTCAAGCACTGCAACAGAATTCAGGGACCCTAATTCACAGTACCGTATTTAGGTTCCTAGCTAATAATTCTTATTTGCATTACTCACATTCATCAGCACAACCTGTGACCACCTCCTGGCTTATATGCATTCCTGTTCCTGACAATGGAACAAAAAAGTATCTACTCTGAAAAAAGAGTGTTTTAAGTATATTGATACTTGATACTTAATAGTTGCAAAACTTAACTGTTAGAAAGATGACTGTTTTCCAAATCAATGGCTCATGCATTACTGTAAAATATATCGATTAAAAACAAAGCATAACATTAGTCATTTAGTCAGTAGAGTGATGCAATACTGAAATAAATTTATCCTTTGACTTTTGCATTAACCTTTTATTGACTGCTTGCATACTCATAATTAACACACATTTTAGCTAGCTTGGTTAATTTTAGCATTGTGATCAGTGTCCTCTAATGTAGCTAACACCCTGATCATCAAAATGTCAGTGAAGCCCAGGGGACCCTAACCAGGCAACTGTCTGTCCCAGTGAATGTGCACCTGCCCATGGTGAAAATAGCCACCTTCCAAAGGGAAGCATTGTGTGTTGTCATACAAATAGTCATACAGTCATACCAATGCTTGTAATGACTTAGGCAAACTTAAATTAATATTTAGCTATTGGTAAATATTAATGATCAAAGCCCATTTGGCAAAATGAGACAAAAGGGGGCTCAAAAATATGTGAAGTTTACAGGGGAGAGGTGGTGAGAGTATTCACCACAGTAGTAACTAAATGCTCCTTAAAAATGGGCTTTTTTTAACTGAAACTTGTCACAGGTCTTGATTGTTTTAGCACGAAAGTAGGGACCATGGAGTTTTGTGCATTCTACATATCTTTAGACCGATCATCCTTTCTGTACATGTTGGTGAACATGTATTATTATCAGGGTGTTGGAGGAAAATTGCTCCGAAATATGTCATGGGATTTTTTCTCTTCTCTGCTGCAAATAAGGTATGAAAGATGCCTCTTGATTTAGCATCTGTTCTGTCTGTCAGATCATGTGTTATTCCCACTCTTAACACATTTTGTGCATATGATACACACAGATTAGATCTACTCTCTTTTGGAGACTTGAATTTGTTAACTCAAATAACAGTTTTTAATTGATACATAATATTTTAATTAACTTACAACACTATAAATCTTGGTACTTTCCCATTACCATCATACTTCAGTGTCTGCAGTGTTTCCAACATGGAGCTTCATAAGTTCTTTTATATCTGGGAAAAGAAAGGATTTCTTTTTATTCTGAGTTATCAGTGCTAACTTATGTTAGCTACCTTGTCCCAGATACAAAGGAATTTGAAATAATTCTGTGCAGTTATTTAAGTGCCTTTGATTGGTCTGCGTCAGTTAAAAATGGTGCTGTAATCCTTCTGCAGGGTCTTCAGGTCTGTTACTCTACTACAAATTAAAGACCGTTATAGGGACAGAAATTTGTTAAAATCAGTAGTAATACACTCATCTGGAAAGGACTCCTTTTGCACCCTCATTCTCTCTCACACACATCGGCTATTAACAACACATTCAGAGCCCTTTCCATTACCTTTCATGTCTCTTTTTTCCCTTTCTCACTCACACAAATGGATTGACGAGCTTTTTCCTCACTTTTGGTGTTCAGGCATTTGTGGTGGTGTAACTGTGGCAGCAGTCACAATGATGCTGTGACTGGACAGCCCATGAGCAACTATCCTTAGTTGTGCAGACCACATAACATGCTTGCAGTGTTTACTGGCTGAGCTTCTTGATTCGTCATCTGCAATATTCTCTACATGTTTAATTTATCCACTTTGAGACTGAAATGCTTAAACTGGAATATCTTATACTACCCGGCAAATTGAGCTTATTATTTTGTGCCAAGACAGAAAATAAAGCAGTATTTTAAAAGCCTTATAAAGTTATGCTGTAATTCGTTTCAGCTTCCCCTGCATATTAATTTTCTCCTGTTCCTCTCTATAATTTGGAAAGCGTTTTCAGAACATGATGGTACAATCAGTTAAGTACCTCTCAGAACTCATACACTAAACTGCATTTGCTCTAACAACTATTATAAAGCAGCCAGCAAAACAAATCCTCTGTTATTCTGTACAGTGCAGCTTATCAATGCAAACAGTTTAATATTTATGCTAAGAGGATTGTCACAAGTAGCTTCTGTTCCTTTAATTCTTGTTTTAAATAAATAATGAGAACATTTAAACACATTACTCTTCCCAGGGCCCTGAGGTCGGCTAATCTTATTATTTATGAAGTGATGTGCTACATAATAGTACTTAGTGCATGTTAACAGATGCTATTATCAGGGACTGATGTGGAGAGCTGAAGATATATTGGAATGTTATGTGTTAATACTGTCCTTGTAGTGTAATGTACGATGGATTGAGTGCCCAGGATGCTGGTGCGGCAATTAGCCACACACCAACATGGGTGTAAAGCTGAAGTATGTTTTCTCATGGGGATTACACTGCCATTAATAATTCCCAAGAGAAGAAGACATCTTTCATTTGAAAACAGCCTCTTCCAGAAGGCTGACAGTGTAGACAAGGAAGTTGCATGTGTCAATGTTTCTAGAGTTCATTTTGCAGAGGTGAAAGACATATATATGTTTAAAACAACTTGAAAATTTATACCAAAATTATATGCTTTGTCGAACATGAATTTTAAAAAGTGTCTTACAAGAGGCAAAAACATTTTTCTACAATTTGCTTGTTAGCTCTTTGAATACGTAGGCCTGCCGTATATACCAAAATTAGAGTGATGTTTAGCATTTTTCTGTGTCTTGCCCTGTTGCGAACATTAACTAATTAATCAGCAACATACAAATTGTTTAAGAGGAGAGGAAAAGAGAGGGGCAGAAATCCTCCTTTAACTGTGACCGTTTTTTTTTGTGCAGCCTGTTGTATTATAGCCTAATCTTAAGAGATGTGATGGTTGCCACTTACAAAACTTTCCTCTGCAGGCTGCAGTTCAGTTGAATAGACTTCAGTAGTATTGATGAATAATCCATTTAATAAAAAACACTGTAATTTAAACGTCTTCTCTGGGGACTACCATACACTAACCTCTTAATTTAATTTTATTGAAGTTTTGCCCACCTATTCATCATTGGAAGTTGTTATTAACCGCCATTTCCATTTATCTTTATAGAATTTTCTCGTTTTATATTGCCTTTTTCAGAGCTAAGCAGGTTGATACACTTGTAAATCTCCAGAATCTACAAAGCTAGTCCAGCTTCTGTAATATTGTTTAATCTATCCCCCCTGACCTTAATGCAGTAAATTCAGTTTAATCTTTCTCAATAATCTAGTAATACATTGGAAACTGGCAAACATTTAAATCTGATAATGGTTTAATCACATACTTTAAATAACAGCTGAGATAATGAAAAAATAATTCACCATATAAAGGTACACTAACTGAGTTTTCTGTGTGATTGGCTTTTTGAGAAATCCCTGTAGAAAATACAAAGCCTACAACAGAAATCCACTGGAAATGAACAATCCATTTGGTCAGAAGATGTGGTATTTCTTTTTTATTATCATCTTTCTCTTTGAATTAATGTATGAATGTATCCTCGCTGAGTATTTGGTTTCTTTATACAATTTTACTTAAGTAGTTCATCTGTTTACCTTTCATTTCAGATGCCAGTCAGAAGCAGCCGAGAGCTTGCCAGAAGACCAGAAACCAGAAAGCCATCCCTTCTGGACAGATGATGAATGTAATATGCCTCTGCCATATGATCTTGAAGAAGTAATTGCTGATCTACAAAATCTTGTTCAGTGGGTAGAATAACAAGTGACCTTCCAGGCTAGAATTATTGATGTTCATCATTTGCAGTTTATCATAAATCTTTCTAGCTTTATGATTCCTTGAACATGTCTTATTTTATGCGTCAATTCAAATTTTGCCAGTCTTCCCACAGTACCTTAGTATGGTCTTGTAATAAAGAAGGCCAGGCCCCAGACCTACAGGAATGCGTGGCTTTTAAGACCTGAAGTCCAGAACACCAGCTTCAGCTCTCTCCTCCACTCTTAATTCCCACTGACTCTACAGCCCATGGATATCCATGTTTACACATGTTCCCTTGGGGTCTAAATTTCGGCTTCCATGGTTGCCTCGAGCTGCCTCTGGCTTGGTAGGTTTGAGCAAAAAAGGTGTAGCTCTCACCTGTGACAAGGCAGAATCCATGATCCTGGTGTCCTAGTAAGAGGCCAGCTTGGAGTGAGGCTGCTGGATAGCTTCAGAATAGATCTGTGACATCTTCATCCACTAACACAGACAGAGGTGCAGGAGATGGTGGATAAAGCCCTTCATGCAATGGCTCCTCATTAGAGCATGTTTTCGGATGAGGAACTCTGGAGAAGCATCATGACATAGATCCCAAGACTTTCTTACTGCTTTTCATCACAGCAGTTGAGCAGTGCTGGGAGAGATTTCCATTGTGAATCTACACCTCCTGGGCTCCCAGGAGCTCAAAATTTGGTTCCTAAGCATTACATTCTTTCTGCATGTTGTGGATTCTATTCTGAGTCCAGGTTTCCCAGTGTACTGTCTGAAGAGCTGATGGACCTCAGTAAGGGTTTCTAATTGGTGTCAGATCCCCTGACAGCAGATTTAGTGTGATATTAGCCATTGCAACATCTGTGTTGATCTAGTGAGATCTACGAGAACAAAACCAGAAAGACTATGAGAAATGGAGCTGTTTGTTTGTTTGTGATCTGTTTTCTAATAACATGCTATAGAAAGAACAATTGTATGTACTGGACGATACCAAGCACTCGTGAACAAGAGAGATTTTTCATTTGGTTACGTTGCTATTTTAACTTGAGCTGGTGTATGCTTTCTCTTTTGCCATAGAAAGCAAAAGAAAATCATATTATGGTGAAACAGCACTGTCTGTATTACCACTACAAAAGAAACCAGAAAGACTCAGAACTTGACATTGCCACAAAGAAATGAATATGCCTCATGTGTTAATCTTCTGTTTAAAATCACTGTTGAGGCCAGGCTTACCCAGAGCAAAGCGCTCTGCGCAGGGCTTCTGCTGCCGAAAATTGTACTTATGACAGCATAACATATGCCAGACCTCCCTGGAGCTAAAGAAGCTGTGCCAGCAAAAATTCAGTTTTAGTGGTATAAAACTGTGTCCACACCTACCAGCTTTTGCCAGGACAATTACATCGAGTAGAGATTTTACCTCTTACCACCTTTGGCATGGCTGTGCCAGCAAAACTATGAAGACCTGCATCAAGCATTTTCATTGTAGTCCTAGACTTCTGCAGAAACTGTTAGCCACCCTGTAGAATGTAAAGACTCTCTGAAGAATAAATTATTATTTAAAGTGGGTTTGAAAATATTATAATCTTCATCTGTACATTTATCTATTGTCTTTTGTGCCACAGATTTCTTAACATTTGGAAATTCCATGTTACGGGCATAGCTTTTTTTTTCCTGCGCTATCTAAAGCTGGCTTTAACAGTGGGCAGATAGCATATATTTGGATTAATGCCACACTAAATACTGTTTACTTTGGAGATCACTTAGAGGAAAGCTAGCTGAAGATGTGGGAATTCTGCTTTTGAAAAGACATGTCTCACAGAAACAGATATTACTTTGAAAATGAGCAACATGAATTCAAACAAGCTAATGATGTAACACTGTTAACATAGCGTTTGAGGGGATTGTTTGTTTGTTTATGCTGTTACTTTATGATTATTTTGTGTTTAATTAAGCCCTGCTAGAAACTATGGTGATCACAGTATTGAAATGAATCTGACAGCCATTAAGGGTAGAGAAGGCACATCAATGCTGTAGTTTGTAGCTGAAGTGGAGGCATAGTTATTAAAAAATGATCAGCAAATAATTATTTCCAGCAGTGGTGAGGGGAAAAAAAAAAAAAACACACCACTTTTTTTTTTTCTTGTATTAAAAGACTGCTGGCAGCAATAATAGAATTTTTAAAAATACATGAATCTAGGTCTTTTCTGTGCTGAAGATTTAAGCTAGTGAATTGGCTGAACTAGTACTAGCTTCAGTGCAGTTAGATAGCACTCATTTAAGCCATGGATGGCAACGACAGGCAAACGAACACCTTTGGAATGGATAAGACTTACAATTCACTGGCAAAATACCAATAATCAAGTGGTTAAAGAGGATTAATGCTCTGTGTTGCATTCCAGTCTCACATCATCTAAATCAAGTGTAACTTGACTGAGTTCAGTTGAGATATGGAAGTATAAGAAGATTTCATATCTCCAAAGCCCACAGGATTTGATAGCAAAGACATGAGTAAGGTTGATGGAACTGTTTGAAGCATGTACTAATGCCAAAGGGTACCTCAAAACGAGAACATGGTTAAAGGTTAGTATCTGTAAAAAAACTGAGAGATCAAGTGTAAATTACTTTTGTGTTGGGACTGCATACTAGAAGCAATACAATACAATATTTTCTCTGCTTCATTCAAGTAGTTATAATTTAGCTCATGTTGCAATGATACTTTGGCAATCCATTTATATTCTAGCATTAGATAACCCATTTCTATTTTGGATGAGCTGAAAGGCACAGCCTCTAACGGATGTCCTGTGTATAGCAGCTGTTTGCCAAGCCTGGGTGCGCTAGAAGCACGAGGACCAAGATCAGTTTTTTTCAGGGAAGAGGTGAGAGCATAGATAAGTTTCTAACATTAGATTCAGTGATTCTTTTTAAATGGTGAAGTTGATGACTTTGCTTACATTTACTTTTCATCAGCCATGGAAGAATTAAGGTAAAACAGTTCACTTGTACGTATGAGTCAGGTTAAATGGATTGCAGAAGATACAGATCTGTTTGCCTGTCTGCACTTGCCTTTAGACAATATTTATCAATTTTACAAAAGCTACTGACTAAACATGGAACCAATACAAATAAAGTGCTTGAGGCAAGGGCTTTCTTCTAAAAATCTGATGCAGGGTAGGTTTTACACTGATAGAAAGAAAATGTTGCCAGAAAATGAGAAGCTTTTATTGTTTCTGTAATTTGGGGGATGAAAGGTAAAGGCTGTTATTAAGTATTTGATAGAAAACTGCTGTGTAATGCAGTGTAATTAGAAATGTTTTTATAATGCTTTATTCATGTCTACATATATGAAAATATTTTATCCTGTAGGTCCTTTCTTCTGTTTAAAAGGTTATGTAAATAAAAAATAGTAATCTCAGTACAGTAGATTTTAAAGGCATCATACTTATGCTCTGAGCTTTACAGCAGATTCTGATTATCTAAAGTGTAAATAAGAATGCCGTTAAGTAATAACCAGCTGGAAACGGTCAAGGATGGGTAGCATGCAGAGCAATAAAGATCTGAATTAGTTGCCTTATTGTTATCCAGATATAGTTTTAGTGTCACTGGCAATGATGCAAGATGCACTTAGAAGTCATGCTGGACTTCTTTGTTCTGGGGGACAGATTCAGGGATTCCAGTACCATAACAAGGAAAAAAAAGAAATTCAAAGAGTACTAAAATCCATCATGAAAGAGAGGTAAAATATAGTGTGTTATGAGTGGATATTGCTCCTTTCTCAGTTATTGTAGTGCTGTTCCCATTAGTCCTGTCTCATGCAGTGGAATTTGGGCTAATGTAGCAGAGGTTAAACTAGCCAAGGAGCTGATGTCTAAGCTGAGATGAGAGGAGGGGAAGAGAGGTAAGATGGGATGCACATGAGAAGCAAGGGTTGTGCTTTCTCAAGGCCACTTTATTAACTGAACTCATATGGGAGTTATTGAGCACTAACTTGTACAGTGCAGGTCAGGACCTCTCTCTTAATAGTTACCACCTGGTGCAAAATAAATGTTGGCTCCTTAACCCCCAACTCATGCCCCCAGCAGCTGGTCCTCAGCTAGGACCATTGTCCTCTTGCACTAAGGTTGCAGAGTTAGAGAGTGGTTGTTCCACTGTAGCAACAGACAAGAGAAACCCTGATCCCCACCTTCAACCTCCACATCTGTCCTACAACACCTCCTTGGACAGAGTACCTCTACTCAACTTCTCTTTCCATTTGTGATTCAAGTCATTGCAGCTTGTCTTCTGACCTATCCCATCAGGGCAGTGAGCTGTTATGGGGAAGGGTCAAACAGAATGCTGTTTGCAGTGAGGTTCTGTGTCCAAAAATGACAACCACTGCACTAACCTAGCATTAAAAGGTGGAAGCTGTTAGGTAGTGATGAAATATTCAGCCAAAACCACCAACATTCAGTGTTTCTGAGGACTCCCAACCTGCCCGATTCTGGCCATCACCTCACTCCACCTGTGAGGGCAGAGACAATCCTGAATAGAACCACTTTTCTTTTTCCAGTCCGAACTGAGACTCATCACCTTCAATGTGGCTGGGCTTGCATCTTAATTTGCATTCATCTGTCCTCTTCACCTTAGCCTGGGGCATTCACTGAACAAGAGAAGATAATCTATACAATTGCAGAAACACTGTGCTTAGTAAGGCTGCAGAACTGGTGGAATAACATGTCAAATAAAAGCCAACAAATAACTGATAAAATTATCACATTAAAATGCTGATGTTTGTGTATGAGCACTTCACATGACATTAAAACTATGGTTTATCTTCTTTTTGCTTTGGAGATAGCATTCATAATTCACTTGATAGAAAAGGACATATAATGCTGTGGTTTACATCCTCTAATACTCCACTGGTTTTACAGTGCTTCTTCATGATGAATCAGGATTTAGTCACAAAAGTTGTTCTCCTCCCCCTCCGTATTGTCAAATACTTGCTTTCATGCCAACACATCTTGGTCTGATTAGTG